CGAACCGAAGCAAGATTTGGCGGCCGGGGCTGCTCGTAACCCGAAAAGTTCGTTAACAGAAGCGTTCGTAACCCGAGGTTCCACTGTACTAGTTCGAGCTCTCAATTCAAGCTGGGCTGTTAAAGTCCACTTCCTTGCTTCATTCACGATTTGCAGTTATATCCCTCCGTGATCCAATCGCTCTTGACGTCTTCCATGATATAGACAAAAGTTAAAATATCCGTGCTATGATTAAAAATACTAATAAAATAAGAATCATAAAACCTCAGATAGAACACCACAATATAGCTACAGTGAAAATATAAAAAAAAAGTAAAAGAGAAGAAAGACAAAAGGATAAAAGATGAACTCAGCTAAAACAAGGTTTGTTTGTTTTTTTTTACCTCCCAGCCCATTTTACCCTCCTCACCTTACCATTATGCTGTCTGTGTCCTTGGACTTGGGAGCGTTCATTTGTGTAATCAAAGGCAGCTTTGTTTTTTAGCTAGACTATCCAAATCCTGCCTTATTTACTTACAATAGAAACATTACTGAATTGCACCCAATTTTCCCAGGCCCTCCTTCCCTGACTGGAGGGGACAAGATGGGTGCGTCTCCAGGTGTGACTTAGGAAGGAGATGCGGCCGCAAACAGGTCCTTCTCTGCAGAAGAGGAAGCCAAGCTCTTGGGGTGCAGGAATGCAGCTGAACCTCTCTGTTAGGTTCCTCCTCCGTTCTTTTCTTACGGAATTACCATTTAGTCATTACACCGTGGAAACCGTCTTTGGATTTTGCTAGCCAGCTAGCTCTAAAGTCGGGTTCTTCGTGGTTTCAAGATCTGTGTGGCTTGAACCAAGCAAATCTTTTCTCCAGCCAAAGACACATTAGCTACCTTTGTTCGTGTCCCAAAGTGAGGCAATTTAAGGACGCCCATTTAACTATAGGTACTCCTTGCTTAATGACCATTTGTTCAGTGACCGTTCGAAGTTACGGTGGTGGTGAACGAATGGTATTTACACCTGGTTCCCAAGGTTACAGCCATTGCAGCACCCCTGCAGTCATGTGATCAAAAGTCGGGCGCTAGATTACCTGCCTGCACTTATAACCACAGGGTCACTTCAACTCCCCCTACCTGCCTATCTCCTCCCCCCATCTCTGCCCTTTTGGCTGCCCTGCACAGCGGCACTCCATGGTGGCAGCATGCTGGGGCTGAAATGGAGGCCTGGGGTCTTCAGTCTCAGCCACCCCCCCAGGCCTCTATTTCACCCCAGGGCTGCCTCAACCCCTGCGCTGCATCTAATCACCCAAGTGCCACAACGCAAAGACCCAGCCACCTCTGCCACCCTGCACGCTGCAGGCCCTGCTGTGCCCCGCTGCCATCTTCTTCCTCCTGCTGCTGATGAGGTGCGCCCGGCCTGGCCCCGCGCAAGGCACGTGCTGGCCGCCCCAGGCCTTCTTCCTTAAGGCCTCTTGCACCGTTCTCCAAATAGCGTGTTGTTCTTGTGATGCTTCGGAAAGCCTCAGAAGCGTTTTGAAGGCTTTTCAGAGCATTGCAAGAATGGCACGCGCAATTTGGAGAACGGGTGCACTATTTAGAGAATGGCACGAGTGGCCCCGGGAAGAAGGCCTGGCCCGGCCAGCAGCAGGAGGAAGACGGTGAAGGTCAGCTGGGTGTGGCAGGGCCTGCAGACACAGGGCAGTGGGGGCAGCTGGGGCTTTGCACTGGGGTGCTGGGGTGGCTGGCCATGGCATGGAGCTTGAGGTGGCACTCCTTGGTGATGGTGCAGGGGCTGAAGTAGAAACCCGGTGGAGACTGGCTGAGACTGCTGAAGGCCCTGGGCCTCTGCTTCAGCCCCAGCGCTGCCGCCAAGGAGTGCCGTTGTGCAGGGTGGCTGAAAGGGCAGAGATGCAGGGGAGATAGGTGGGTGGGGGGAGTTGAAGAGAGGCAGTCCCTTACTTTACCGAGGCTTGGGACTGGGAAGGACCAAGCTGGGAGTGGCTTGGATTGGGGTGGTTCCTCGCCTACGACCGGTGGGATTCGGTTAACAATAGCAATGGGTAGCGCTGGGATTGCTGTCGCTAAGCGATGCAATCACATAACATCGTGCTTTACAACTGCATCACTTAGCGATGGAAATTCCAGTCCTAATTACTGTTGTAACTCGAGGACTACCTGTATCATCATGTTTGCATCAAATACTAGCCTATGGTTTACTACAGTTCACTTAATTAACCCAGTTGTTGGATTCATGCAACGTACTAAGCCACAAATGAAATAACTATTTTAGCCTAGGATTTGTGGGTAGCTATCTTGCCAAAAGTATTTCCAGTTGTCAGTTTGATGGATCTGATGTGGTCTTAGAAGGGTTTAACCCTGTACTGTGTTTTTAATGCTGAGTGTGTGTTGGTATGTGCAAAGAGTAAAGGCAAATGTGATTCTGCTCTTTGTTGCCTGCCTGCCTGCCATCCATCCATCCATCCATCTCCCCTTTTTGCACCTAGGGCACTCTATAACAGGGTTCCTCCAACCTTGGCGACTTGGATGTGTGGACTACAACTCCCAGCATGCTGGCTGGGGAATTCTGGGAGTTGTAGTCCACACATCTTCAAGTTGCCAAGGTTGAGGAACCCTGCTGTATTACACTTATTCTTGCCAAATGCCAAATGTTACTCTGTGCAGAAATTTATAATCACGGAACGACGTGCATATTGGAGACACTCTGCAAGTGACTGTTTCCTATTTCCAGGATCTCATGAACCTGAAAGAAGCTGGTGTTTCATTGAATGTGGTCGAGCCAACCCCGATCCAACCAGGCCAGCGGACTATGTTCTGGCAAGTCATGCAGGAGGAGGATGGAGATGCAGATTCTTTGGGTAAGGATCTCTCAGGGTCCTAGAACTGGGAGGGTCCTTAGGGGGCCTCAAGTCCAACCCCTGCTCAGTACAGGATGCACTGGAGTATCTCTGACAGATGGCCATCCAGCTTCTCTCTGAGGACCTCTATCTGATCAGATAGGAAAAATGTGTTATCATTATTATTATTATGGTTGGTCACACAATTAGCCAGATGTTGTTATATTTTATTTATTTATTATGAATATTTATAAATTATATATTTATAAATTATAT